GGAGGAGGAGGAGGAGGATACCGGCGCCACAGCCTGCGCGGTAGAGGCCAGCACAGCTCACCTGGTACAGGGTAACGAGGAGTAGGCCTCCTCATCCTCTCCTCGCGCTCCAAAAGGGCCCCCGCCAAGCCCCAAACTACCCTGGCCGCGTCCACGAACGCGACGATGGCGCGGCACACCGAGGCGGTGAGGTAGCACAGGGGCAGCAAGTAGCCCAACGGCAACGCGCCGCCTCCTCCTCCTCCTCCTCCTCCTCCTCCTCCCCTCCGCCTCCTCTCCTCCTCCTCCTCCTCCTCCTCCTCCTCCTCTCCTTCTCATCCCCCTCCTCTTCATCCTCCTCTTCCTCCTCCTCCTCCGGCTCCTTCTCGTCCTCCTCGCCCGCGCGCGCGGGGCCGCCGCGCCATTTCCCCGCGCCTCCGTTCGGGGGGCGACCGCTTCCGCAGCGCGCCGCACCCGGCGGCTTTTGCGGCCGGGAGGGCGCAGGCAAGGCAGTGCCAGGGAGGGGAATGAGGAGGGAGGGAGGGAGGGGAGAACGAACGAACGAACGAACACGCGAGGGAGGGAGGGAGGGAGGGAGGGAGGGAGGGAGGGGAAAACGAACGAACGAACGAACACGCGAGGCGTCTCTGGGTGGGGGGACGGGAAGGCGCGCAGTTGTTTCAAAGGAGCCGCCCTCCATCCGTGCAACTGTTGCGCACGCTTGCGCCTCTGATCTTCGATCCCGAGGTCTCAGGCGGGCGCCCTTTGAAAAGGAGCCGTCCATGGAAAAAGAGGCGCTGGTCCTCCTCCTCCTCCTCCTCCTCCTCCTCCTCCTCCACCGTTTCCTCCTCCTCCTCCTCCTCCACCGCTTCCTCCTCCTCCTCCTCCTCCGCTTCCTCCTCCTCCTCCTCCTCCCGAGGAGGGAGGCGGGAAGGAGAACGGAGCGAGGGGGCGGGGCTCGCCGTCCCCATCACGCGGCGCCGCGCTTCGCCGCGGGGGCGGAGAACACCTTCTCCTGCCGGAAGCGGAGCGGAAGGGCTTCATAACGTCCCCCCGTCCCTCGTTCTCTCGCTCCCCACTATGGCATCTCACTTTCTTTCTCTCTCTCTCTCTCTCTCTCTCTCTCTCTAGTTCTCTAGTTATCCCGCTCTTTCTCTCTTTCTCTCTCTTTCCTCTGCCTCTGCCTGACATTTCGAGCGCCCCACCGCAGGACGACCCCCCAGACCGCCATCAGGTCCCCGAGCAGCCCCCCAGGAGCTCCAGGAGGCCCAAATCAGACCTCAAGAAGCCCCCAGGGAGGCCCAAGCGACACCCCAAAAACTGCGTCTGAGAGGCTGCCGGGAGGCCCACCCAATGGCGGGACCGTTCGCGCATGGGCTTGTGTATGGGTTTGTGGAAGCAAAAGAGCAGAGCAGTCGAGTAAGAGCAAAGCGGGGGTAAAAAGTAGGAATCACCTACAACACATGAGCATTGCAGGTGCGTTGTAGGAGTAGGGTCGGGGCACAGAAGGAGCAAGGTAATCGCTTGGGCCTTGGATGCCCATGGGTTTGCGCGTGGGTTTGCGAGCGGGCGCGCACGAGGACAGCTGGATTGCACTTGCAAGCATGTATCGACTGCTGCGCGATTGAAGAGCAACGCAAACACGGAAAAGGGACGAGAAAACGACAATTCCGGAATCACAATCCTACTATATTCGGGCGTTGGCAGAACTGGGTCTGGTGGGACTGGGCTTAGTGATGTGCACTGGGGGGCGCCCCCCCGCCCCGTTCCACTCACCGGAACTGCCGTCTCCCGAAAAAACACGGGTTGCGGGAGATCTGGTTTAGTGATTCAGGCCAATTCAGGGGCTCCGAGGCCCTACTACCAACGGGGTCCCCCTACCTGGGGTCCTGGCTATACCCGATATATATATATATATATATATATATATATAATATATATAATTATATATATATATATATATGTACACATATATATAGAGTAGACATATATATAGAGAGAGACATATATATATATATACACACATACATATATATATACTAGAACCACGCGCGCGCTTCGCGCGCGCTTAGGTTCTGTCGAGTCACAGACCCAGGAATCGTTGTGAGAAGAAATTGGGGACACGAAGTCAAAGCCAATCTGGCGGCCCCTATCGGGCAAAAACTGGCAATCTGGCGGAGAGCCAGCGAGGTTACAGACTGGCGAGCAAGTAGAAATCCCCAACCTGGCCACGCCAGAGTGGCCCCTGGAACCCAAGGCAATCTGTCAGTCTGGCCTTCGACTGTCCACGAGAAGGGCGAGACACTGAAATCTTGGGACGCGAAGTCGAAGCCAATCTGGCGCCAATCTGGCGGCCCCAATCTGGCAAAAGTTGGCAATCTGGCGGAGAGCCAGCGAGGTTACATACTGGCGAGCAAGGAAAAACCTCCAACCTGGCCACGCCAGAGTGGCCCCTGGAACCCAAGGCAATCTGTCAGTCTGGCCTTCGACTGTCCAGGAGAAGAGCGAGACACTGAAATCTTGGGACGCGAAGTCGAAGCCAATCTGGCGCCAATCTGGCGGCCCCATTCTGGCAAAAGTTGGCAATCTGGCGAGGGAGCCAGCGAGGTTACAGACTGGCGAGCAAGGAAAAACCTCCAACCTGGCCACGCCAGAGTGGCCCCTGGAACCCAAGGCAATCTGTCAGTCTGGCCTTCGACTGTCGAGGAGAAGGGCGAGACACTGGAAACGCAAAGTCGTCTCAAAATCGACCCCGGGACTCCGAACGCTCCAACGTTTCGGGCTGCGCCCGCCCCTGCGACGAGGGGCCCTAGACCAAGGTGCCCCCAGGACTCCCCGGGAAGCTTCGGCGGCGTCCACAGCACCCCTCCTCCTCCTTCTCCTGCTCCTCCTCTTCCTCCTCCTCCCTCTCCTCCTCCTCCTCCTCCTCCTCCTCCTCCTCCTCCTCCTCCTCCTCCTCCTCCTCCTCCTCCTCCTCCTCCTCGTCTTCCTCCTCATCCTCGTCCTTCCCGAGCGATACTCTTGGGCCGCCTTTGGAGCCTCTTGGGGCGTCCTGGGTCTCTCGTGGGGGCTTCTTGGAGCTCTCTTGGCGCCTCCTGGAGCCTCTTGGGGCCGAAAGCTCGGAATTCTACAGTGGCTTTCTCCCTCTGGGACCCCTCTCGGGCACGCCTTGGGGCTCTCTTAGGCCATTTTGGAGTCCAATTTTGCCGTCCTGGGCGCCTCGTGAACCGTCTTGGAACTCTCTTGGGGGCCACCTAGGCCGTCTTGGGAGCCTCTTCGGACGTGTTGGACGCGGTGAAAACCCAACAGGCGACCATGCGAAAAGTATACGTTTTCCAATAGGAATGGGACCAGTTTTGCTTCTTGGACCTCTCTTGGGGTGCCTCTCGAAACGTCTTGGGCTGATTTTGGAAGCCTTTTGGCGCCTCTGGGCGGCGTTTTGGCGCCTCCTGGGATGTGTTGGGCCGGAAGCTCGGAATTCGAGAGTGGCTTTCTCTTTCTGGGACCCCTCTCGAAGTCGTCTTGGGGTTCTCTTGGGCCGTCTTGGGGCCGTCCTGAGCCACTCACTCGTGCGCAGCCTTGGAGCGCTCCCGGAGGCCTCCCAGGCCGTCTTGGAGGCCTCTTGGGCCGTCTTGGACGCGGTGAAGCCCAAGATGCGAACATAACAATGCCTGCAAGGCAGTAAGGTGCCTCTTGGCGGCATTTTGGCGCCTCCTGGAGCCTCTTGGGCCGGAAGCTCGGAATTCGAGGTTGGCTTTCTCCGTCTGGGACCCCTCTCGAACTCGTCTTGGGGCTCTCTTCGGCCGTCTTGGGGCCGTCCTGGGCCACTCGTGCGCAGCCTTGGAGCGCTCCCGGAGGCCTCGTAGACCGTCTTGGGCGCCTCTTGGGCCGTCTTGGACGCGGTGAAAGCCCAAGAGGCGAACATGCGAAAAATATACGTTTTCCCATAGGAATGGCACGATTTTTGCTTCTTGGGCCTCTCTTGGGCTGCCTCTCGGAGCGTCTTGGAGGCTTCTGGGACCTTCTTGGTGTCATGACAGGCGTCTTGGAAGGCATCTGGAGCCATCGGAGCGCGTTCCGAAGCCGCCTGCGAACGATCTTGGACGGCGTCCGGCGGTCCGACGAGCCTCCGGGCCCCCCGGGGCCCACATTTGTGGTCGAGGTCCCGGCCCCGGGCCCTCGGACCCGGTGCGCCGTTATATGTATATACATACATATATGTCTATATACATGCGGGTGCCCCCGGTCTCGTGCCCTGCCCTAGCTCCACCCAGCCGCCTCGGGTCCAGCGGAGGCACCCGCGTGGCTTTCTACAGTGGAGGCCCGTCCACAAGAGACCCTCCACAAGAAACCCAACCCAGAGACCCCAGGACGCCCATTGACTCTGGATGTGGGAACGCCACGCCTTCCATCGCAGAACCATCGAAGCCCAGGAAACCCAGGGCACCCCAGAGGCGAGCAGGGTGTTTCTCGGCATGGCCCCCCGCTGTATGGCAGTCACTTCCAGATAGGCCACCGGCCAAGCCTGGCCCCTTCCGGATGGCCAGTTCCACGACGGCGACGACGACCTCAGAAAGTCCTGGCACCCAACCGCATCTTGCCCCCCGCCCCCTCGTCGCCGGCTTGCCCCGCCATGGACACCGCCGCTGTCTCCCTTCGACGGCTCGCGCTGAGACGCACCCTCGACGGTCGAAAGCTCCCCAGCCATTTCTCGACTAGGTGGATATTATCAGAGTCCACTGCTTCCTTAACCTTCGCCGGCATGCACACCTTCTGCTTGGTGCACTGCTGGAGCTTTGGGAGGAGGAGGAGGAGGAGGAGGAGGAGGAGGAGGAGGAGGAGGAGGAGGAGGAGGAGGAGGAGGAGAGGGGGAGGAGGTGAGGAGGAGGAGGAGGAGGAGGATGAGGAGGATGAGAGGAGGAGGGTGGAGGGGAGGAGGAGGAGGAGGTGGAGGAGGCGACGGCCGTGCGGCGTAGCGGCTGGGACCGGCCCGAACCCCATTGCCTGGGGGTCCCCCTGTG